ACAAAGACACAAGCTAGTGTAATCTGAGCATAAAGAAGAATCCAAAGAAAATTCCTTCAGCAAGAAATGAATAGGAGGGTGTTTTTAAAAGCATATTAATTAAATAATGCTTCACGAGTTGGTAATACAGAGTAGCAAAAGGGGTCAAGATATAATAAAGAAAGGAGACACAATCAATAGGGGAAATAGTATAAGGATTGCCTTTCACAATTTATCAAATGTCATCTTCCAAGATAAGGATAATTCCGATGTGTGACCCGACAAATGCGCGCACGACAAAAGCGTGCCGACAAAAGCTCATCGCTAAAACTGTGATGTCATCAATGCGCCAACAACAGTGCACCGACAACAGCGCATCGACAGAAGCACGATTTAAGTTAAGGTAAGGGTTAGGTTTAGGGTTAGGTTTAGGGTTAGCGTTAGGGTTAGGTTTAGGTTTAGGGTTAGCATTAGGTTTAGGCTTAGGGTTAGGTTTACAGCGCGCTTCTGTCGGCGCCCTGTTGTCGGCGCAATTCAGCGCTCATTCCTCACTGCGGTTTAGAACTCGCGGTTTTGTCACCACAGTTTAGTCGGGCACGCTTTTGTCGGTTGCCCTTTTGTCGGTGAACCATTCCGATGTGGTACATAAGAAGAAGATGGGAATGGGCGTAGAGAGAGAGAGGAGAAAAAAATACCAGGAATTTTACAGGAAATGTTCATCTTCTCCTTAATTATCTCTCAGATTCCTAAAGGCTCCCTAAATACTCTCTACAATTGCTAAGGCTTATATCATAGCATGCTCGCAACAAAAAGCAATATTCTGAAAGATCTCTATTTTTATTATCACCTGTTTTACAACCTCAGTTTACGATTGGAACTTTTAAAAATGCATTACCAAATATATACTACTGTCCTGTGTACTATCCAGACACAATATACTGCCCAAAATATTGTTTCTTTTGTTTTCCCCTCTATTTGGCAATACAACTGATAATTACTCAAATTGTTGTACGTAATTATAGGAAATAGAAGAAATACAGTGCCAGATGTTTAACAACGAGAAACCTAAATCCATACTACACAAGATGAATAAGAACCACATCAGCCAATGGGAATCTGCTTGACTTGTGCCTATGCAGGATAATTAGCTACTGGAGATATATAGAACTACCAGGAGATATTCTATTGAAGTATATATAATCAGGGATGGCCTGCACTGGTTCGCCTGGACTCGGGTGAACCCATAGCTAACATTATGGTCAGTTCAGAGAACCTTCAAATCACAACCCTGGTTGGCCCAGCCCACCCTGCCTCACCCCTCCGAGGGGTCTACACACTGCCCATTTTGGATGCAAGGTAAGTGCCGGGTCAATGTGGAGGCTCAGGGAGAGGGAAAACAGCCTCCTGGAAGCTCCAGGAGGGTCTCCAGAGCCAAGGGGAGGCATTCACCATCTCAGAGGCTCAAGGAAAGCCTCAGGAACCTGGGGAAAGCAAAAATCCCCCCCCCCCTGCCATGGTGCAGGAAGCTGACTATGTCACACCTACCATGGCCATGCCCACCCAGCACCTGGGCAGAGAACCCGTTGCTTAAATTTTTGAAGTCCACCCTGTGTATAATGTGATGGCAATAAAAACAGGTAGTCCTTGACTTAGAACAGTTCATTTAATGACTATTTAAAGTTACAACAATACTAAAAGAGGGACTTATGACTGTTTTTCGTACTTGATGGCGGAGTGGTTAGAGTGCAGTACTGCAGGCTACTTCAGCTGACTGCTAGTTCTGCAGTTCGGCTGTTCAAATCTCACTGGCTCATGGTTGACTCAGCCTTCTATCCTTCCGAGGTGGGTAAAATGAGGACCCGGATTGTTGGGGGCAATATGCTGACTCTGTAAACCGCTTAGAGAGGGCTGAAAGCCCTATGAAGCGGTATATAAGTCTAACTGCTATTGCTATCGCTATTGCTGTTATGACTGTTAAAGTCCTCATGATCACATGATCAAATTTCAGACACATGGCAACTGACTCATATTTACAATGGTTGCTGTGTTCCATTGTCATGTGATCACTAGCTGACAAACAAAGTCAATGGGAAAGCCAGATTCACTTAACAACCCTGTTACTAACTTAACAATTGCAATGATTCACTTAACAATTGTGACAAGAAAGGTCATAAAAGAAGGGGAAATTCACTTAACAAACGTCTCGCTTAGCAACAAAACTTTTGGGCTCAGTTGTGGTCATAAGTCAAGGACTACCTGTATCTATATGTTAAGATAAGGTCTTTATTGCAGATGTCTCACAAATCTCCATCCCCAAATACACAAGATTCAAGGTTCTTGGTGTGTGTGTATGAAAGGAGTGGGTGTTTTCGCTTTCTCATAAGAGAGTTTATATTCCAGAGTTCAGAACAAACCAGAAAGAAACCCTCTTTTTTTTTGCAGAGAAATCAATCTATAGAGAACTATCACAATGGATAGGGTTAATGACTAGCACTGTGTGCACAAATTAACATTTGTGAGGCAAGAACTTGCTTTTGATTTAGAGAGTTGTATGAACCAATACACAACCAATTACAATTATGTAAACCCACTCAGTTCTGGTTCATTCAATAAACTATGACTAAAGCAAGCTATGCTTTTAGTTTGCTATGTGATACTAGTCATTAAGTGGAGTTCTATTTTCCTATAAGGTTTCACTACAAGTCACAAAGCATATTTTCCTTTCATGCTTTCTGCTATATTAACAATCCAAATATAATATCTATCAATGTAGAAGATAGCACTTTGGTGCCACTTGCTGAGAGTGTAGAAATTATCTTGCAAACTCTTCTATTATTAGATTCTCTCAAAGAGTAAATAAGGTAATTTCATTGTTGTATAGGAGGAGAGCAGGGGAGAAAATATGCCTTAAGTTCAGAATACTTAACCATTGTTTAGAAACCTTTTTAAAAATTAGCAGGCTATTTAAAATTCTTTAAGTTGTAGACTAGTATTACAGCAAACCCGGATATTTCCTAAAACTAGCTACTCATGATGGTTCTTGAGTTATAGACTTATTGAAATTCATTAGTTCAAACTTTCAGAGAACAACAGTACGTGATTCCACTGGAAATATCTGGAATTGAATTTAAAATTTTTATGAACAGTAATGGTATATTTTGATTCTCTGTAAGCATTATTGTTTATCTTGGATAATGATCTTGGCAAAATGAATGATTAAGCTCCTTTACTTCATTCTTGGGATATCTATAGTAAATATATGATGTAAGATTATTCTCCAACTATTTGGTTTATTTTTGGTATTTGTTTACAATTTGATTTCTTTAACTTTCTACAGTTTCTGAAAGGAAACAGGGACATTCCACATGCAAAACTTTTTCTGGGATATTCTGGTTTTTACACAAATGCACCAAAATATACTTTTTTGTGTAAGCTCATGCAATATAGCAGCGGTGAAATCCTCTGAAATCTGCTACTGGTTCAGTAAATCTGTTACCAACCACACGCTTTATGCACACATTTAAACTGTGCTCCCAAGCAGCACTAAAAAAAGGAACATTTTGAATCCTTCCAGTCTGCAAAAGTAAGTAGAACAGCGAGAGAGGGGAATCCATTGTGCCATGCGATTTAGATTAGCTAGAAAGCAGGAAATCCAACAATTCTAGCTAATATAAATCGTGTGTCACAGCTGATCGTCAGAAATACCGCTTTGCCCGAACTGATAGCATTTTTTTACCTACCAGTTCGGGTGAACAGGTAGCATTTTTTTCTGAACCGGTAGCATTTCACCCCTTCAATATGGACTCTCTTAAGCAGTTAGCTATAATAGCTGGCCTTTTAAAGATACCATCTTGCCACCATCAGGCAAGTCAGTATAGAAGATACCCGAATACATGATTAGAAAAGCAGAACAAAGATTGCTTTCAGTTTGGTGTTACCAGAATCTAATAATTTCCCCTAAAATGCCTTAATTAATATTTATAGCCTAAATTAATCAGGTTAGAAATTGAACTGATTAAAATGCCTTAATTAATATTTCTAGCCTATATTAATTAGTCCCACCTTAGTTTCCCAGATAGAGTGGTACCTTGGTATTCATCATTAATTGGTTCCAGGATGCATGATGAGTACAAAAATGATGATTACTAAACATTTTTTTTCCCCATAAGGAATAATATAATGAGTAAAAAGGCAACTGATACCAACAAGTGTGGTTGGGGTCATCAAGTGTGATTTGGTATCAATAAGTGTGGTTTGGTGGTCACAAGGTTATGCATTGAGTATCAAACAAATGATGAGTACCAGGACAAAATGTTCATGTCAAATGGGTTTGATAAGTTTCAAAATAGTTAAGTACCAAGGTACCACTGTACATAAAAATGGGGGGATTTTTACACATACATATATGTTGTGGCCCAGCAGGAGCCGTTGGAGCTGCCACCAGACTCCGACAGCGAGGGGCCCTATGAGTCAGCCCTGGAGGATGTGGAGGACGCTGGACAGGGTTCCAACTCTGAGCAGGGCACAGAGAGACTGGTTGACCACCAGGTGGCGCCTGAGCCTTGGACCAGTGAGGAGGAGACAAGGGAGGGTGATCCAGAAACCAGCAGTGAGTTGTTCCTCGATGCACGCCATCAAAGAGCTACTCGGCGTCAAGAACAATTACGCAATTACAGGAGGTATTTGCACTCAGCTGGTGGTCATGAGGCTCTTCTCCAGACTATAAAAAAGACTGCTTGTGACACACCCCTCTTGCAGAAGGCAACACATTGACTAAAGAGAATGTAACTAACTTGGCAGGCTGTATTGCTGCCAAGGTTTGTCTGAATTGCTGCCAAGGTTTGTCGGACTTGCTGCCAAGGTCCTTATCTGTTTGTTTGCTTGAGATTGTGGCTTCTTGCTATTAAAAGTACATTCTAGTTAAGCTTGTCTCGGCTTTCGTTACTGGACGGAGGAGGGAGTCGGAACACATATATATACATGCATGCATACAATTCTAGAACAGAAAGATCTGTACTTACATTTGCATACTTTGCAACACTGGCCAGTTATATGGACTGGAAGACCATCAGAAGAGCAATTCAATAGTGGGCAGGCCATTCGTCGGCATTCTACTACTCCATTCTAAACCAAGAACAGATAAATCCCAGTAGCATTAGATGTCATTCTTTGGTGGGCAGAATCTTATCTAACCTCTACCAATGTGAACCACTACTAGATTTCTGGAAAAAAATATTTCTTTTATCCCACTCCCCCAAATCCAGCAATTGCCTAAGTATGGCAACCAAAAAAAAAGAATCTTCTTAAACACATAACTAACACCTTTCACATTCTCTGTCAATCATCTTCAACATTTTAATGAAAACTTTTCTATTTTCTTGAGCAAACAAGACTTTTTTTCTGATACTTATCAAATAATTTCTACTAGGCAAGGTTTACATACTAATTCAGTTCCTCTGGTATTCAAAATGATAAATACTAATAACATAATATACATATTTCTATCATGTACTTTACAACTTAAGCATAATATTAATGTTTCTTTTTTACATTATCTCAAAGATGCCTTTTAATTTTGCACTGAAGTATATAAATCCTTCTAATATAATTTAAATGTTAAACTTTTTCTTCTTCTTTATGTTACACAGGTAGGTCACAATTAGTATGAGATTAACGTAGGTAGTTCTTAACCTATGACCATAACTAAGTCCATAATTACAATTATAAATCATTTCATTTATAAATCAAGGCATCACATATACATGGCCAGACTCATATATTTTTTTGCCGTGCAAACACTGCAGTCATTAAGCAAATGCCACAGTCACTGAGCACAATAGTTAAGCAAATCCATTTTCCTCAATAGCTGGAACCTGGAAGTGAATGCTAGAATCTGGCAAAAAAAAAATTGCAAACCACTGTCCTGTGTCTATGAGATGCTTCAAATGGCCATAAAAGTGACCTGGTTGCTAAGTGCCCAAGCTGAGATCACTTGACTGTGGTTTTTTTTTTTTTTTTTTTTTTGGGGGGGGGGGAGAGTGGTTTAACTT